TCCACCCCCCTCCACCACCGGCGACTTTTCCTCCAGACCGCGTCCGTCCTCGCGGCTGCTGAGGTTCCCGACGTTGGACTCCTCCGGGAGGTTCTCCCGAGCTCCGGGAGAACGTCGACCATTGAAAAGTGGAGATCCCGAGGAGTGACCGCGGGTGTTGGGTGGATCAGTGGTCGGGCTGAAGACAGAGAGTTCTGATTCCGACGTGTCGTGACTCAGGGAGAAGTTCAGCTCGGACGACTCCGAATCAGAAGACGGAACCTGAGACAGAGTCCTGGAGACCCCAGTCTTCTTGGTGTAACAATCTCTGTGTGGAGTTCAATTGAAAACAAAAAGAAAACAGTTTGTCATCAATCCAGTACAGTTAGTCACACAGCAGGGGGCAGTGCTGCGCCGGAGGTTACCTGAGGTCTCTGTGGACGGGAGCAGAGTGAAGGTCCTGGAGTTCAGAGCGGGTCAGGAAGACAGAGGTGAAGCTGATGGGATCGGAGTCGGAGTCGGAGTCGTAGGCTACGTCTGGACTCTGCGACTTTAGTGGAAACAGAAAAACATTTACATGTTTTACGTGTGTGTGATGGTGGTTCAAACTCTGGTCCACAGAGTTTGACCGGTTCCAGGTTCAGATAAAGTACCAGCACGGGGGGTCAATCGTTTGTCGGTACTTTATCTAGAGAGACATTTCTGACTTCTACTTCACATCTGTTCTTGGACCGGGTCGGGCGGCTGCACCTGGACCAGTGAGGTGCGCTACAGCGCCATCTGCCTGTACCATGAACCTGAACAATCCAGATCCTTCAACACATGAACGCTGAAGGGGTAAAAAAATGACAACCAAATATTGTATCGTGATATATATCGTATCGCTACATTTTTGCCAATTCCTCCCCCGACAGAGGGATAGGGACCACAGTTTGAGCCACACTGGGGTTGTCGGGACTATGGTTTCGATGAAATTATTTCATTAAGATCCAGTGTTTTAGGACATTTGACTCAGACCGCGACGGTTACCTTCCTACCTTGGTATACGTGTCACGCTCGTGGACCATGACCTTCACCGTGAGCTCTGGACACATCTGAGTGCTGACAACTCTGCAGGAGAAAAGCAACATGTCAACTCCGAGAATGAACACGCATGGAGCACTAGAGATGGAGAACCAGGAAACGTAAAAAAAAAAATTTTTTTTTTACCTCCCTCGGAAGAGGATGCAGCCTGCTGACACTAGAGGGCAGTGTTGACAGGCCTGAAGAATGAGGGCGGCCTTCAGCAGCAGGAGAGGGTCAACCTGAGGAGCAACGAGAGTAAGAAAGAGATCCGTTGACGCCCACTGATCAGATGGTGATCGGTGATCAACCGCTGGTTCTAAGCTCCACTTCAGTGACGCAGAGAGAATTTTTTTTTTTTAGCTTTTAATAAATATGAGGAAGTTGTCTTTGCATGTCTGTGGTGAGCGACGTGTCGTGTCAACATCCTCACATCCTGTACCAGCGCACGTACGTTGGTGGAGTCGATGGTCCTCACACAGCTGAAGACCTGGTGCAGCTCGGACGATCCCGGCCGCAGGTACGACAGGTACCGAGCCCACCTGGTCGCCAACGTCTCCGGACTGTTCAGCTAAAAGACGAGAGCGGGAAACGTTAGCAACTGAAGGGAGGAAGAAACGAAGCAGGGGGGGCAGTCACTCTCTAACCCCCTCCTGTGGCCTATTTTACTGCGGTATTTCAATAAAAAAAAACCCATAGATCACTGTCAACAACACCAGATTTAAATAAAACACAAACATATGGGTGGCGGACTGTGAGTGGTACGGTCACCAACAAGTCACAGGACCTAATCCAGGGCGGGGGGGTGGGCTATGCTCATTAATAAAACACCCAGTACTTCTACACAGTACTGTGTGTACTGCTGTCATAATATAAACCGTAAACGTTAGAGTGAATCAAATCTTTTTACACATGGTAATTGTTGTTAAACGCTGGTCTTTGTCCCGATGCAGATGTAAAATCGTACCTGGTAGCTCTGACGCACTGAGCCGTTGAAGAAACAAAAGACATTTATGAGCTGACGGAGGAGCTCGCACACACCCGCGGTGGGAACATCCGCTGAACAGCCCAGAGCCTTGGGGTGGGGGAGGGGGGTGAGAGGGGGACGGGACAGTGGGAAACAATGGGTCGTAGTCAGTGATCAGTCGTGGGTTAGGTAAGAATATGAAGACGATTATGAGGATTTTACGATTCAAGGGGGTTAGGGAGAGAAGAGGGGGAGAGAGAGGGGAGGAGAGAGGGAGTGAGGCAGAGAGAGAGGGGGAGAGAGGAAAGGAGAGCACGAGACAGAGAGGGGACAGAGACAGCGTAAGAGAAACAGAGTGTGAGAAGCGGAGGGAGGTAGGGGGTAGTGGGGGTCAGAGGGGGGAGGAGGACTCACCCAGAAGAAGTCGTCCCTCATGTGGATGGCGTACTTGTGGCGGTGCAGCCTGAGAACCCGCACCGGAGACGAGGACAGCTCGGAGACACAGCGTCCGACCCCGGCCAGCTGTCCACACAGCAGCTCCTGTTTATCTACGGGGGTCTGAAGAGGACACAGGTGACACTGGGCAACGGGCGGAGGCTAACAGGCTAACAGGCTAACGGGGTAACAAACCTCCTCGGGGTAGAAGTAGCAGATTCCATCCCGTGTGGGGTCTCCCTCGCCCCTCACCTTGGATCCATCGTAGAGGAAGAAATAACTACACCTGCAAAAAAAAGAAGAAAAAAAAGGCTCAAATTAAATGGTCTGAACCAGGGAGGGTCAACATAAGGGCCGCAGTCCAAACACGGTCCACTGGGTTTGTTAGGCTGGTCCAACTGGTTTATACTAGAGCGACGTCAACATGTCCACTGTCGAGTGAAAAACTGAAATGCTAACAGTCGCGCTGCAGACAAACGTCGTAGTTATTACAAAATAAACCAGGCGACGGGATTTTTCAAATACTGAATATAATACATGAAACTTGTTTTTGTTTTTTTCACCTGGATGTCTGTTAGCAATAAACACTTTTTTTTTTAAAAAACGAACGTTTTTAAAATTTTTAATATCGGTTTTGGTGCCGATAAAATGTTGTTAATTATAAAGCTGCTAATTAACATTATTTTATTATTATTTAAAATATACAATTTTTTTTTATTTAATTTTTTTTTTTTTAACATCGGTCTATTATCAATATGTTCGTTTCTTCGGGGTTTTCCAGCCAACGTTTAGCCTCCAAACAGCTAGCACCGCCCGTGGTCTGCTCCGAACTTTACATTTTAGCGAAGTAAAAGTGTTCGTTAGAATCACCTTCTGACAGAGTTCGCAGCCATAACAGAGTCCAGCCCGGAGAACGGCAGCGCCTCCTCGGTCACTTCTCACCCATCGACCCTCCGCTAACTCTCCGCTCCTCTTCGGTTGACTCACCCGGGGGAGGAGGAGGAAGTTTCCCCCGCAGCTCCGCAGCTTCACTCCCGCAGCGATCGTGTGAAAAACGAACCCTCACAACAACCGGCAAGTGAAACAAACCGTGACAGATCACAACACTGAGCTCGTTCAGCGAATCAGTGACGGAGACGCGGCCACCTGAAGGAATGCGGTCGGTCACAAGCGGCAGGAGTCACGTGAAAGGACGGCGACTGAGCTGGGACAAATCTGGGTCATACGCGAAAACCCCGGAGGAAAATATTCGAGCGGCGAGTACACGTTTGAGGGTTTCAAAAATACTATCAACGGGTTTTTAAAAAAAAAAAAATATATATATAAACAATATATAAACACAAACAAGTGTTTACTACAGCGGGGGAAATAAGAAAGTTAAAGCTTCGAAATTGACGAAAGTTCTTGCGAGTAATCGCCACCTGAAAAACTGAACTGAATTAAACATAAAAAATATTATATCAATATTGTTATTATTATATATTATCATTATTATTGTATATAGTGTAGTAAAATAATATTATTATTATAGGAAAAATAAACGAACAACATTAAAAAAAATTTTAAATGAAAAAAAAAAAGCTCCGGATGTTAACGTGGATTTAAATGTTGTTGTTTTTTGTTTGTTTGTTTGTTTAGACGATTATTATCGTCTGTATCTTCATTCAATCTCGTTGTTTTCATTGTTGTTGTTCCTTGTGGCCAAAACAGATCGGATCGATCCTTTTCTTTGTGCTCGATTGAGAAGGCCTAACCAGCGGGATCAGCGTGTACGCGCACGACTCTATGGCGTCCACTAATCCGTCCAGCGGGGACAACGGACACACATTGTCTTCGATCTGAACTAAAAAAAACGACCATTTAAAGCGAATCGATTCGGTCTGAATCGTGTCCGCTCGGTCACGGGGTCAACATTTCACCGTAACAATGACACTTTCGTGCTGCGTTCGAAAGCATAGAGCACTGCGGGGATATGGACACTAGAGGGCGCGCTGGTCCGGTCTTCACTGTGACCATCTGCTGTGGCTGAACAGACGCACAAATTTTAACGGAGGATCCGTTTAAAAATGATCGAGTGACAGTAAATACACGATATTTTTAACACACAACCGCAAATATTCAACATTAATCTTTTATACACATCGCGTATTTCGATATATTTCACGGCCAATGTTGTAGAAATGGAGACCGTGAGACTGTGTTGATGAACCGAACTGGTTTTATTCATCAGTTTATCGAGAGTTGACTAACCGTCACAGACCGCGGGCCTTCTTCGGCTCTCATCAGAACAATTACGTCATCTTTTTTAAATAATTCACCAATAACTAATCGCCAAACCATAAACAAAATAAATAACACAGGAGTCAATCACAATCACTTAAATTATTAGCTACACTATAACTTAAAGAATGAAGACGGACAGAAGACTGTCCGTGGTTTATGATCTGGTTAGTGGAGTAAACTAGTCTAGGCTTCGGAAAAAATCTAAGAAGTTTAAATAAATACAAGACAATAAAGAAAAAGTCGGAACATTTTCTCCTGCTGTTCTGGAGCTAACGACGGGTGAAGCGGGAAATAACAGTCCGAGAGTCTGCACCAGAACACAGGTAGTCTACTGAACTCAGGTGGTCTACGGAACAGGTGGTCTACAGACCTCAGGTGGTCTACAGACCTCAGGTGGTCTACAGAACTCAGGTGGTCTACTAAACAAGTGGTCTACAGAACTCAGGTGGTCTACGAACAGATGGTCTACGGAACACAGGTGGTCTATGGAACACAGGTGGTCGTTGAAACTCAGGTGGTCTACGGAACACAGACGGTCTACAGAACTCAGGTGGTCTATGGAAGACAGGTGGTCTACGAACAGATGGTCTACAGAACACAGGTGGTCTACGGAACACAGGCGGTCTACAGTCTGTAAGAAATACAGGGGTGGAGAGCAGGAAGTGAACTTATGAACAGAGTGGGGGGCGGGGGGTGGTTGGGGGGTACAGGGACAAGTAAGAACTGAATTGTTACCACAGACTGGACCGACTCCCGTCACACAGAGCTGCTCCAGTTGCTCAACTCTCCCTCAAACATTTTTTTAACATTTCATTTTTCAAGTATTTAGCAAATGTAAAAAAAAAAATTATAATTTTCAACATTCGTCAGCAAAGAGCACTCTTCCAGAGACAGGGCTAAAAATACGTCTAAATTTCTACACCTTTATTCCAGGGTGGCTGCAGTGGAGGGTGGAGGATGGTCGTGAGGAGGGAGCGTAAATCTTAAGACCTGCCTAAGACTTTTGCACGGCGTCATAAAGCGTACGCCGCCACATCTCGGCCTCGATAAATATGACGTGAGCGTAGACGGAAAAGACAACAGGAAGTGCAAGGAGGACGGAACCGATCGGACCGTAAATAGAACCAGAGGCTTTCTTCTACGGCTGACAGATACCGGGTGGTCTCAAACTCCGGCCCTGGGGGCCAACCATCCGGACCAGGTCCAGACTGAGCGCGTGCTGTGGCGAAGTTAGTGTTTCAGTTGTAGAGCGGGGAAACGGAGGAACAAACTGTCAGGGAAATGTTGACACAGTCAACCCAGCTGCTTGTCCAGTAACAAAATTTCTTTTTCCAACTTCCGCATTTTGAGTTCTCTGTACGCCATCTGCTGGTCGCGGTTCTCCATCTCTTTTTTCAGGTAGCAGCAGTAAAGAGTCTTGATGTCCTCCACCTGGGAAAGAAACAAGGTCAGCAACAGGTCACGACAACGGCGACGACGACAACAGCACGACAACGAAAATAACAACAACAACGACAACAACAACAACTACAACAAACAACGTCACCTCTGCACGTCTGCCTCCAGTGGCTGACTTGGGAATTTCTTTGAAGCTGCTGCTGTGCAGGACCTACAAAAACAAATACATCAGTAAAGATTCCAGGTTCCAGTATTAGTATCTGCAGGTACTACAGGTTACAGTATTAGTATCTGCAGGTACTACGTGTATTTAAATATTGAGCCGGGTAACTGCAGTACCCGGCTCATCCACCTGTGCTCACAGACTTACGCCTTCGTAATGAGCGTCGCTCATGTCCGTCTCGTCGCCGCTCAGACTCTCCGGCTCCGTCTTGGTCACCGGCAGCAGGAGGACAGGGTGGCCGGACACTGTGTTGGCGGAGGAGCCGGTCAGCGTCACGGTCAACCTCAGCAGGACATTAATCAGGAAACCGTCAGTGACACTAACCTCCGACGAACGAACTGTCGGCTCCCATCAGCGGGTCGATGCAGGCTCCTCCGGGGATGACCTCCACCCTGAGGCGACCGTCTTTGTGCTGCAGAACATCCTCCTCTGCGGAGGTCAGCGATGGGGTGGCCGACTCCCCGTAGCTCCTCATGGCCTCCACGCGTTTCCTTTTTGCTGCGTAAACATCAACGTGATGGTTGAAGGTTCAAAACTGCGTCGTGGGTTCAATTCTACTACTAATCCACCACCGGAACCAGACTAAAATCAAAACGCGCCAAATCACCACCTGATGAGTTTTTGAATAAAAGTCGAAAATACAAAAAAAACAAAAAACGCATGAATGCAGTTTTTTAGACCCAGTACACAGTCAGTACTCACTGTAACTACATATATTATATGACAGTGTATTATTTTATATTTATCTCATAGACAGAAATCTAGAATAAATTATTTGCTGTATTTTTTTTTTTTTTTTTTGTGGTCACACATACACGCAGTACTTTGCAGTAGTACCTGTTTGTACGATGTTCTTGTGCTTGATCTTAACCTGCTGCCAGGTCCTCTTGCAGCCACTGTCTGACACCCTGTGGACAAACACGTGTAGCAGTGAGATCGTCAACTCTTCTGGTTCAAAGTTTCTTTTCTTTTTTTCTTACGCGTTAATCTTGTCAGCGATCCTCTGCCAGGCCTCCTCCCTCAGTTTGGAAGCACTGGTGGTGTTGGACTTGGCTGTCAGGATCTCCCTCTCCTCCTCGTACAACCTGATGATCATCGCCTGTTCCCTGGTGCTGAAGAAGTGCGCCCTCTCCTGTTTCCTGATCATGTGAAAATCTGTAAAAACACAACATTTTAATCCCAGTGTCGGACTCGAACCGCAGCGACAAACTGACGCTGATTAAAATGTTTTTCCTTCACCTGCGTCAAAGTTCATGACTGCGATCCGCGGCTCGGCGTTCGATTCGTCTCCCCTCGGCGGCGGCGGTGCAGCCGTGCACGGTAATCCGAGATGTATCAATGCTAGATTGTCTAATCAAATCGCAACCAACAGCTCAAGCAACGGCAAGTCGGTGAGGGTCGACACCCGGGACACCGAGACGTGGACGCCACGGCAGCAGACGGAGGACAGACGGAGGACAGTCGGTCCAAGTCTGGATATGTCCAGACCCGGCGAGTTTTGTTAACCCTGGATTTTCTAATTCGGCTACAGGCGCGTTCACGTTAGAAAGGAGGGGTGTAACCGAAAGCATCGGTCACGTGAAGGTGGTAGGATTACATTAGCCCCGCCCTCCGGCGTTAATTCCTGCTTCTGTATGAATGTGCAGGGGGGAGAAAAAACGGGGGGGCTGGGAAGGGTGACACCAAATAGGTCACTGGTTCTTACCCCCCTCTCTCCCTCCCTCCGTCCCTCCCTCCCTCATCACAGGACTAATACGTGTTATTCAAAAAGTACTCTTTGTGACAAGTGATTATGAAATGAGGAAAACATCTCATGTCCAATAATCCAAACCCCGACACAGAGCGGCTAGACTGCCCCCTATTGGTCGATACATATGCATACAACAATAGTTACTTTTCATTTAAAAATGTCACAAAAAAAAAAAACAAAAAACATCTGCCTGAATTTAATTAAAAAGAATCAGTAATAGCTGCTGGGATATTTACTACAAAGACTGCCCCCTACTGGTCGATACATATGCATGCAACAATACAGTTACTCTTCATTTAAAAATGTCATAAAAAAATTAATAAAAATCTGCCTGAATTTAATTTAAAGAATCAGTAATAGCTGCTGGGATATTTACTACAAAGACTGCCCCCTACTGGTCGATACATATCCATGCAACAATACAGTTACTTTTCATTTAAAAATGTCAGATTTTTTTTCTATAAAAATCTGCCTGAATTTAATTTAAAGAATCAGTAATAGCTGCTGGGATATTTACTACAATGACTGCCCCCTACTGGTCGATACATATGCATGCAACAATACAGTTACTTTTCATTAAAAAAATGTCACACACACAAAAACAAATCTGCCTGAATTTAATTAAAAAGAATCAGTAATAGCTGCTGGGATATTTACTACAAAGACCGCCCCCTACTGGTCGATACATATGCATGCAACAATACAGTTACTTTTCATTAAAAAAATGTCACACACACAAAAACAAATCTGCCTGAATTTAATTAAAAGAATCAGTAACTGCTGCTGGGATATTTACTACAAAGACTGCCCCCTACTGGTCGATACATATGCATGCAACAATACAGTTACTTTTCATTTAAAAATGTCAGATTTTTTTTCTATAAAAATCTGCCTGAATTTAATTTAAGGAATCAGTAATAGCTGCTGGGATATTTACTACAAAGACTGCCCCCTACTGGTCGATACATATGCATGCAACAATAGTTACTTTTCATTTAAAAATGTCACAAAAAAATCAATAAAAATCTGCCTGAATTTAATTTAAGGAATCAGTAATAGCTGCTGGGATGTTTACTACAAAGACTGCCCTCTACTGCTCGGAAATACTTCACTTTAGATATTTTATGTTCAAAATTGTTATTTAGCCTTTGTTATTCGATCCTAAGAAACAATTTTAAAACAAAAAAAATTGGATAATTTAAAATGTAATTTGATCCAAAAAATGTATATACAACTGAAACTCTTATTTTGAAAGCTTTTTTTCCCTAATTTTCAAGCTCTACAAAGACTTTTTGGACATTTTGGAAAAGTGTAATTGAAAAACAATGGAACATCATCAGTTTTAGAAAAAATATTGACATATTGAAAACTCCATGTAAATGTTATGACTTACCTTAAAAATACATAAAAAAAGACAAAATCCTGAATTGACATATTAATTTTTTATTTATGTTACTTTAGGTCAAGTAGAGATTTTGTTCAACTGGTCCAGAAGAAGGAAAGGTGTTTGTGTTTGTGCCTCATGTCAAGAACACAGAGGTAAGATGTGTCCGGGAACTTCAAGTGTGAACTGACGTGGTCCAGTGACGGTGAGGGACTGGTCCCTGGTGTGAACGGAGGACCCACTTATTCCTAGTGTTCCTCGTACCCGTCTGGGAGGGGGTTTACATGAGAGTTGTGGAAAAGTGATTTCTTTCCATCTCCCCAGGGGAAGGCCTGTGATGGAAAAAAACACATTCAGAAATGTTAATTTTTTTAAAAAAAAGTTTGTAAAGTGATGTTCAAAGGGAACAGACACGGACCTTGCTGCGGATACGGAGGTGGCTGTAAGCAACGAACTCTGGACG